GCTCTACCACTGAGCCACCTTCCCAGCCCCAAGAGTGCTATCCTTGAACAAAAAATTTGGTCAAGGACAGTGCCTAGGCCCAGAGTTCAAGTTCCAGGACCGGCATTAAAAGCAAACAAAAACTACCTTAGTAAAATATTCTTTTCAGAGCCAACAAAAAATTCAAAGTAGGCAGGGAGCTGCTGGCTCGTGCCTGTAATCCTAGCTACTCAGGAGGCTGAGATCTGAGGATCATGGTTCAAAGCCATCCTGGGCAGGAAAGCCTGCAACTCTTAACTCCAAGTAACCACCAGAGAACTGGTGCTGTGGCTCAAGTGGGAGAGCACTATTCTTAAGCTGAAGAGCTCAGGAACAACGCCCAGGCTGAGAGTTCAAGCCCCACAACCAACAAAAAAAAGAAAGAAAAAAAATTCAAAGTAACACCCACCATGGCCTTTTCCTCCTGAAATCTTCTAGGGACTGGAGTTTGCTTAATTAGATGGCTCTTTATTACCAGGAGCCTCTAGTATCAACTAGTTACCCTCTACTGCTGGGTGGACAGAAAGGGTCTCAGGCCAGCCCACAATAAGTCCTCCCAAGCAATAATAAACTAGGGAAGGAAGATCAACTCAACACTAACTTTACTCCAAGTAACTGAATGAATTTTAGACTTAATCATTACTGTTTTCTTAAACTGGCAGATTTTTAGAGATAATCTAATCTAGATGAGGAAATTAACTCAACATTGAATTGACTTGTTTCAAATCACAAAGCTAATTAGTATTATCATTTAGATAATTCTTATCTTTAGCTCTGTGGATTGCTGGGGCAGCTGCGTAACCTCAGATACATACAGATGTGGTACTGGACCAGTTCAGAGCAAGTACCAAGTGTCGTCAGGTTATAAGATGTGAATAGCAATCGTGTAAGTAGGGACTGGCAAAGGAAAGCTGTACCCTGCTGTACACATGTGGCGTTTGGCTCTCTGGCCCTTTGTCTCTTTTACTGCTTTGGGTTTTTTATCCTTTCTGTGTTCCTTTTCGCTTTCTTTTCAGTCATATTTCATTTGGTCACCCTTTCTTGCCTAGGGCTAAGCAAAGTCAAGGCAGCTGCGTTTTGGTAAGCATCACTGACAAGCTGTGAAAGATCAAGAATGTCTTTATTTCTTCCCCTAGACTTCCGTCTGCCTTACTGTTCCAGGTTTTATGTCTTTTGAGAAAAGTACTTGGAGCTAACTGTGGTAACAGGTATAGGTAGACCTTGACTGCCCTTTCATCAGTGACTACCTAGAGGGGTTCTACTTCAATAACGTTTTTCCTTTCTCTGTTACCTAGTAGGAAGGTCAGGTTACTTTGTTTTACCTCCACTGATGTCATAGCAATCTAATTGCTACATCTGTTCTTTTACTGATAAGCTTGAGTAAGCTAGCTCATCTTGTATATTGGTTAAATATATGAGTAGCTGCTTGCCTCTGTTAGATTTACCAAATACCACATAAGCAAAAAGAAAAAAGCCGGAAGTGGCGCTGTGGCTCAAGTGGTAGAGAGCTAGCCTTGAGCTGAAGAGCTGAGGGACAGTGCTCAGGCCCAGAGTTCAGGCCCCATGACCGGACCCCAAAAAAAAAAAAAAAAAGAGTCTCATGTACTTTCTTGCCCGGACTAGCTTTGAACTGAGATCCTCAGATCTCAGCCTCCTGAATAGCTAGGATTACAGACATGAGCCACCAGCGCCCGGCTAGACCCCATGATTTTTAAAGTCCTAATTTTAAATTCCTTAGTGTAGTACTTAGTTTTTTTTCCTTACTCAGTCTTAGAAATGTTTCAATTTTCTTTGTCTCAAACTTTAAAAAATTTCATTTCTGCTCTTTCTTTGTATGTATGAATGTAGACAGTGTCTGGCAAACAGGAAGTACATTCTTACAAGATGGCCCAGATAGAGGGACTTCTCTTCCAGAGCCTTCTGAGAGCAGAGGTTGATTGAGCAAGCTCTTATTTTGGTTTCATGGTTCCTTAAAATGTTTGTACTTACAGAAGTTCAAAGTTACTGTTTACTGGTATTTTAGAAGAGGGAACTAGACAAATCTTTTGTGCAGGAAACAGGCTGGTAAACATCCCTCACCACAACCATGCTTAATTTCTCTTAAAATGGTGCTGCTGTTTCTGTGCATGCTTTATAGTGGATCAGGGAATGGAGGCATGTAAGGATGGAACTTTAGGTTTATTCTTTGGGGGGGGGTCCGGTTGTGGGGCCTGAACTCTGGGCCTGGGCGCTGTCCCTCAGCTCTTCAGCTCAAGGCTAGTACTCTACCACTTGAGCCACAGTGCCACTTCCGGCTTTTTTTCATTTTGCTTATGTGGTGCTGAGGAATCGAACCCAGGGCCTCATGCATGCAAGGCAAGCGCTCTACCACTGAGCCATCTTCCCAACCCTAGATTTATTCTTAAACCAAATACCAAGCTATGGATATGGCTCAAGGGTAGAGCACTTCCAGGGTGCTGGGTTTGATCCTCAGTATCGTAAAACGAAAACAAGTCCTGCTTCTCATTTACTTTGGCTTCTGAATTTTGTTCCATTTAATGACAGGATAAGTCAAAGAGACCTGACCTGCTTCTATTTATTTATTGTTTGCCAGTCTTGGGGCTTGAACTCAGGGCTTGCGCACTGTCCTTGAGCTTCTTTTGCTCAAGGATAGCACTGTACCACTTGAGCCATAGCACTACTTCTGGTCTTTTCTGTTTATGTGGTACTGAGGAATCGAACCCAGGACTTTGTGCATGCTAGGCACTAAGCCACTCTAAGGCACTCTACCACTAAGCCACATTCCCTGCCCCATCTATCTCTATTTAAAAGCACAATTT